TTAATGAATATTACTGAAAAGGTTACTCTAAACCTCATGCTTCCTGGATTTAACTCTATTGTAAAACTGACAAAATAACATACCTTTTTAGAAAAGCCAATGTCCCCCTTCTTAGGCATAAATCCAGGGTCTAAATCATTGGATTCAAGAAGTTTCTTTGTTGGTTTCCTTTGGCGTTTACTTTCATAGTTTCCTGAAATGCACACATCTTTTCATTAGGTGACTTAGAAACTGGTACAAGGTAATTCTGAATTCTAACACAAGTCATAGATTTTTTTGTATTTGCCTCATTTCATGTGCAGGGACAAGATGGGGATTTATTTTAAAATGTTACTTAAAAGAAAACCACTAAATAGACTTCAAGACATAATCTAACATGAGGATGTTCTGCATGCTGATTTTTTTTTAATCACATGATAATCAAGGAAAAAAGCTGAACTGTATTTTTTAGGGACAAGGACAAAAGAAGTGATGGAAAACCTAGATTCTGGCCATATGTGGACCAGGATTACAACTTTTGCTTTGTCACTAAGTAAGTGTAAGTTCATAAATAAATAAGACAACTACTTTCGAGACTGTTAATAGAATTACATAAAATAGCTTAACAGCAGCTAGGGATACAACTCAATGGCACAAGTGCCTGCCTGGCCAGCACAAAGTCCTGAGTTCGATCCCAGTACCAAAAGCAAAAACAAAATCTTTTGGGGCTAGAGATGAACTCAGTGATAGGGCACCGAAAAATACAATTCATTCCTTTCCTTCGCTGACTAAAAAATTCAACTGTGAAGATGTGAATGAGAAAATTCAACTTGAACTCTACCAGGTGACACATAGGTAAATAAACCATGATAAAATGAGAAATAGGTGGTAATAACTTCTAGGGAATATTTATTAACTGTTTATTATATGTTCAAATTAATAGCACTATATTGCATTACAATACCCATTTTACATGTAAGGAAACAAATTCAGATGTTATTACTTCTCAAGTAATAGAGATTGGTGGAGTTAGTATCTAAAGCACAGGTTTCAAGTGGTTATTACAGTAGTGCGTACTGCTGCTCCCCAAATTGCTATCCTTGGTTATTGATTCACATGAGGTTGATCAAAAATCATGAAAGTAGCAATATAACAAGCAGGGTAGTTTTTGAAAATACATGTTTTTAAGAGTCTATCACAAATTTATTCATGGTAAGATATTACCAAATGAGTGACCTGCTCTCTATAAAAATTAAGCTTTACATCCAAATACACTACAAATCTCTTGCTGTCTCCAATTGTATCCACTGAGAACCCATCCCCACCTTACCTGGTGTTTTAACAATCAAATCTTCAGACTCAAGGGCAGGCCTCGGAGAAACTTCTGGAGCCATAGGCACAGACAAGGTTAACTGTGGTAACTCAGCATGACCAACTCCAAGTTCTGACTGAGTCAAGGGGCCCTCCAAAAATGGAGCCTCCCTTTCAAGAACTGGAGGCTCTTCTTTGGTTGAAATCAAAGAATTCTCATCCACCTGTTTGTTCTGAGTACTAGATTGACAGCGGGACAGAATGCGCTCCTCTTCACAGCGGGAACTTACCTAAGAATGAAGAGGATAAATAGAATTCCCAGACAAAAACTGTAATAACTTGATAAAAATAATGCACTCAAAAAGGAATGAAGCTGGGTGTGGTGACACATGCCCATAATCCTAGCACTTGGGAGGCTGAGGCAGGAGGATCACAGCAAGTTTGAGGCCTGCCTAGGCTACAAAATGAGTTTAAGGCTGATCTGAACTACATAGTGAAATCCTGTCTCACAAAGACAAAAAAAGGAAATCAAATGAAATTCATACAGGTTACAACATGGATGAACCTTAATGACATTACACTAAAGGAAACAAGCCAAATATAAAATTGTAAATACTGCATGATTTCCCTAATATGTATCTTCAAGTCATAGAAAGAAAACAGAATGGTGGTTGCCAGGCGTTAAATGACTCTATCCATTACTGGGGGCTAGGTTTCATTGGTAAGATAGAAAATGTTTGTGATACAATTATTTAGACAATATTTCATGCTTGCATCTTATACCCAGAGTAACTATTCTGAAGATAACAGAATGCAATTATTAATTATTGTTATTCTCCTATTATCTTGTTTTATAATTCTAGGGAGGAGGGCTGGCCAAACAGCTCAGTGGATTAAAGCGACTGTTTAGGCAGATGCAGTGGCCAGGTTTCGATCCCCAGCATGCCATGCTGGCCCCGCCCCTGGGTTGCATTGAGACTAAGCAAGGTGGCATGAGCAAGCCTATAATCCCAGCTCGTTGGGAGGCTGAACACAGGTGGATCACTAGAGGGATTTTTTAAATAATTAAAAAAGACAAGGGGCCAGGGAGATAGCTCAGTAGAATAAGCATCTGCCTGGCAAGTGCAGGGTCCTGAGTTCAATTCCCAGTACCGCAAAAATAAGTAAATAAATAAATAAATA